AAAAATCATTTCTGACAACACGGTGGAAGACGTCTCATGTGAATCTACAAGAAAGAATTTTTAATCAAATAAAATGTTGCCAGAAATAAAGCCAATCAGTCTGAATGAGATCCTAAAGATTGCTGTAATTTTTTAAAAAAGATTGTGGGTTATAAACCAGAGGGCCCACACATCTCCTTGGGTTGACATTTCATTATTAATGTTCCAGGGTTTTCTGGAATGTTAATGTTGTTCGCATCAAGTCCAAGGGATTAGGAAGTGCATCCAATAGTTCTTTTGTATCCAGTTACAGACTGTCAGAATAAAACAGGAGAAAGGAATATTGTGGCCATTTAATGAAAATGTAAGAGCCCCGCTGTAATCAGATCAGACACAGGGGTAAGTCCAGTCCAGCATGACTTCCATATAGTTTACATATGCCTGTGTTAACCAGTCCAAACTCTATGGGAGGCCAATCAACTCTTTTTGGGAACATGAGGGCAACAGCCTTGTCTTGCTGTCGCTCCTCAGCATGTGATACTCGTTGGTATACTGCCTCTGATCCTAGGGATATAAACATCAGGACATAAATATTAGGGTCGATATATCTTTTCTACACAAATTTCTCTCATTCCAAAGCTAAGTCAGCAGCCACCACAACACCTTGTGGATCAGAACTACATAATATAACGGTGTGCTGTATGAAACATTTACTGTAATTTGCCAAGATTTTCCCCACATTCAGCACCCCAGGTTCCAATGCTGCGGGAGGGGGAGAAAAACATTCCAGTAACACACTGGTACCATTTCCTTCTATTCCTCCTTTGTCACATTCTGTTATATTTGTGAGGTAACACAGAGTGGCTGGGAAATGAACACTACTGATGTAGAAAAATGCTATTAATGAGCTTCGCATGAGAGGTATCATAACAGCCAGCAAAATATTATTTGGAATCATGGGTATAAGAATGGGTGAACAGATCCATTCTCAATCTGAAGAATGTTATGGTGTCATCACTCTTATTGTAAAACAACGAACCTAACTTTAAGGAAAGGAAAACTTTAAGGCACTTCAAGGAAACTTTAAGGGTCCACAAGTTCTAGAATGGAACACTGCTGAATTCTTCCTTCTGTGGAGAAAGGCAATGGGATCAGGAAAGTCTTTTGGGTTGCACTGGATTATGGACTAATCAGTTCACTTTTCTACATTGAAATAAACCACTTTTTACATCAGTTGCATTTACATGACTTGTGTTTGGAATTATTTCACCAACTTTAAACAGAAATACACTGTACATTTTTCTGGGCCTAGGTAAAAGCCAGAATGAAATGAAACAGAAAGGGGGCTTCTTAATAGAAATGGATGCTAAAACCAGTGGGATGTACTGGATAAATATCCATACAATATTTTAGACTTTACACCCAATGACTAGTGCTCTTTCATTAACCTTTTATTGCCCCCAAAACCTGCTGGAAGGGTACACAGCGGCCTGAAATGGCAACTTCCAAGTAGGACAGCCCAACCAAATTTAGCAGACCCATCCGACTAAAGGGAACAGATGTAACCAGCCACAAAATGTCCCCAGAAGCAACATTCCAGTACCTGTTCCAGCCCCCCCCCCAAAAAAATCAATGTTGTGAAAAACAGCCCAGAACAATGACTTCCAATTAGGGCAGGTCAAATAGATATATGGGAACTAATGCAACCTGCCATAAAATGCCCCCAGGATCCACATTCCAGTACCCTTTCTGGGCAGAAAATCAATATTAAAAAATAAATGAATAAAACTAGTCCAGAATAGCAACTATGACAGCCCACCCAATTAATCTGTCCCATTGGACTAGAGGGGACACATGCCACCAGGTACAAAATTCACCCAGGAAAAGCATTTGAAGCATTTCAGGAAGAAATCTGATATTTTGAAAAACAGAGCGGCAACTTCCAAGAAGGCCAACTCAATGTAATTCCCTTCTCCCATCAGAATAGGGGAAATGGGAATATGTACCTCTGGATGTTCTGTAATTTATTGCATTGTCCCATTTAGTTGTGTTTGAATGATGAATGTGATTCCTTTGCCCCCCCCACCCAATAAACTACTATTCTATGCTACTATAGAGAAAACAGATTTTCCAGCCCAGAAAAATAACCCTTGCATGGTTCCTGTGGATCATTTGTGACTACTTCTGATCTATGTTGTAGGTGCAGCCTACTCAGAAGTTGTAGTTCCAGGGTTCAGGAATGTATGATTTTGGCCAAGAGGAGATACCCAAATGTGCTACCTTTGGATGTCTTGTAGCTGGTTCATGAACTGCCATTCAGTCCGATATGGCTGATAAATGAGTCTGCTTCTGCTCAGAAGTTACTGCAATAAGCTTTTTTTCTAGAATATGATGACACTCTAAACCTCCGCCGGCTTCACATAGATGTTAAACAGCATTCGGGACACTGACGCCTGGGGAACCCCACACCCCAGCACCTCATCCCCTAGTTGAACCCTCTGGACATAGTCCTTGAGAAAGGATCAGAGCCCACTCAATGCTAAGCTTCCGACCCCAATCTCCACGAGCCTGTCCAGAAGGATACCATGGTCAACAGTATTAAAAGCTGCTGAGAGATCCAGGAGCACCACCAGGGTACATCTGCCCCTGTCAGCCTCCCTTAAAAGGTCATCCTGCAGGGCAACCTGTGCCTTCTCAGTACCTTGCTGTGGCCTGAATTCAGACTGGAATGGATCAAGGCACTCTTGCTTCTCCAGGTATGTCTGGAGCTCATTTGACACCACCCTCTTGGTCACTATTGCCGAGGAATGATATGCTGGCAATATTGTTTGAATTGTCCATTGTCAACTGGGGGCACTTAATAATGCATCAGATGAGGTTTCTTTAATACATGAGGGGACGGTTCCCTCCCTCAAAGATGAATTTACGATATTCATGACCCATTTAATCACGGCCCACTTAGCAGCTTTTAATCAAGTGAAGGAGGTGGTAGGCCTGCACTTCATCAACACCCTGGAGACCTCCTCCACTGATAGAGGGTCAAACAGAGAGAGATACGGTGTGGCGATGGTCACCTCACAGTCGATGAATCTTCTTGTGGAGTCAAGGTCAGCACGAATGGCCTCAATTTTTGATCTTAAAAAGGCTGGAAACTGATCATTGGTAAACTCCATGTGAGGCCATGACCGACCGGCACTGATGAGGTTGTAAACCACCCAGAACAATTCTGCTTCCCGGTTCTCACTCTCCCGGATACATCTGGTGTTAAATGCCCTTTTCACCATTTTTAAGGTGTTGCCGTATTTTCTGATTATGATCTTAACAGCAACCTTATTTTGCGCTGTCTGGTCCCTTCTCTACCTGCTCTCTAGCCCTCTCCTTGCTGTCTTCATAGCTCACAGCCCCTCGGTATACCAGGGGGCTGAACAAGCTCTGGAGCAGAGAGGGCTTCCAGGGGCGATCATGTCAGCCACCCAGGTCGCCTCCAAATACCATCTATCGGCCTGGACTTCGACAGGATTGTCGACCAGACCAGCTGGAGACCCTCCCAAGGCTTCGTGGAACTGTTCCGAGTCAAGAAGCCTGGAAGGACAAACCGTTATCCCTGTGGAGAGGGGTTGCCATAGACAGGTCAAACCTCAGTAGGAAGCGATCTGTCCACGATAGTGGGTGGATGATTGCATTCTGCACCTTCAGATCACTTTCTGCCCGTGTGGTCGGGAGCACCAGGTCCAGACTGTGGCCCACTGAATGCATGGGACAGGTGACGTGTTGGGATAAGTCTGTGGCTCTCATGGAGTACGTGAACTCCAGGACTGCACCAGACGGCACGGTTTCAGGATGGATGTTGACATTCCTGGCTATCAATAGCCTGGGCGACTTCAGCATCACAGACGAAATGAACTCGGCCCGCCCTGGCAGGGACCGTGCTGGACTGTGGGGAGAGTGGCACACCGGCACTATCCCAAATCTCTCCCTAAGCCCCACTGTCAGGGGCCAACCCTCCAGGCCTGGGCTCAAAAGCTCGGTGGTCCTACTGATACTGATATGGAATTCCTGAAAACTCTTGCAGCCCCACCCACACCCTGCCCCTTTGATTTGCCCTGGTGCTGAATGGAATAAACATGGTGGGGGAGGCAAATATCGGACAGAAAGAGCAAGTTCTCCCAGGTTGGACACCCATGTCTCCGTAATACAGGCCAGGTCTGCTTCCTCTTCCTCAATGAGGTTGTAAATCAGATGGAACTTGTTATTAGCAGACCTGATAGTAATCAGCAGAAGCATCCAACTTAAGGGTCAGCTGTTGGGGGGCAGGAAGGAAATATGCCACTGTGACTTACAAGATTTCACTTACTCTGGATAAAATCTGAATAGGATTGTGACCATTACATGATTATGGAAGCTTCTACCAACTCAGGTTAAAACATATTCATTCTGACCAATTGTCAGATTAATTTGTAATGAATGGAGAATAAAAGGGAGAAAATGCAGCTTGCAGGAGAAAGTTCTGCCATTGTGCTAATTTGTTATCTTGTAACTAAGCCTCAGGAAAAGTTCATATTGTGTTTATAACTGACTCCATGTCTCAGCCTTACACTGCTGTCCCATTTGTGTCAAAATTTAGAATAAAAAAAAATAACAAAGGGTCTTTTGGTACCCTAAAAGCTAACAAGTTTTATTCAATGTTTGTAGACTGTGGCCTACATCTTTGTGTACATCTGAATGCTAATGACATCTGAAGGGTTAGGGTTAGGGTGGGCTACGGTCAATAAAAGGAGTCCATAGGACAAATAAAACGTGTTTACCTTTAAGGTGCCAGAAAACTCCTTGTGTTTTTTCCTGCAGCAGACTAACATGACTACCTGACCTCTGAAAACAGAGCTTATGATAACCTTGGAGAAAAAGTTTTTCAGAGTTTGTAAAATGACATATATTTCTAAGTAAGGAAATATGTACTGTACTTGCACCACAAATCAAGGGATTCTTCTTTACACAGAATCAATGTATACAAGGTGGTGAAATTCTTCAGTGAAACACTACTCTTTTAGTATTAGCTGTAAAAGAAATAGAACAAGTTCCAGCTGTTTTTTATTTGACTTCAGTAGAGGATGAGAATGTGTGTGTGCACGCACGTGTGCATGTGCAAGCGAGCACGCATGCACATGTGTATGCATTTGTGCATGTGTTTCTACTATTTCTTGTCACAATTCTAAATTCTCATGTTGGTAGCATCATTCATCTTGAATTAATTCATTGCTGTCTTCCAAAGGGAAGCAAGCTTGCCGATGCATGTGGCCAGATTTCTGATCACTTCCTCCAGCAGCTCTTCTCCTACCAAACCGTCCCACAGGTCGAATTCCTCGTCCAGTGTACCAAGAAGGGTCAATATCAGGATCTGGAAGTGAAGATGCAAAAGAAGATGAGAATCTATTGAAAAGAAATTTCATCTCCTTTCATGGTGGCATGGCCATCTGTTACTGTATGCTGTCAAGTTTGAACTGACTTACTTCTGATTTCCATGGATTGCTCAAGGATTTGGCATTCAGCCACAGGAATGGCCAGGCAGTCCAGTAGCAAGCAGAAAAGGCAGGCCACTAACAGTTTCATTCCTTTTAAGTTTCTGTCTGTTTTGAAATTTCTGTTTTGTTTTTCACAATTTGGAAAATGAGCAGATAACCTACAGTCACAAGGGAGAAAGAATTATTTTATTAGAAAGTATGACTTACAAGGGATTTTCACGAAATGACAGAAGCATTATGAAATTATACACAAATACAGCCCATGGGGAAAGTACTGTACATTTCAACAACTGTTAGATCTTCTGAAGAATTGCAATTATCATTGACACCAAATTGTGCATACATATGTTTTACATGTCAGCCAGTGAACAGTTGGTGGGCTGGGTGTAAAGGAAATAATAGTAACAGTAACAACAAAAATGACCAACAACAACAACAGCAGCAGGTTGGATTTCCATCAACAAATGCACGGGAAGTACAAAATTGCAAAATACTAGATATTAGGGCCAGACAGTTTTAGAGCTGTCTCTTTGACTCTTTGGTTTTCCCCTGTGCACCAATAATGCTGAGAATGAATGAATGAATGAATGAATGAATGAATGAATGAATGAATGAATGAATGAATAAGGCTTGACCCCCACACATGCACAAGCAATGCTGAAAAATGAGAAATACAATAATAATAACAGTACTGCAATTTGTCAATGAGAACCATCTTACATTAATGAAAGTTCCACAGCATGGGAACGTATGGCCTTAGATTGCATGGACAGTACCCTATTACCTCTTGGATGATAATCCTGATAAGCAAAAACTGTACCTGTACATTAGATGAAACTGAAGGATTCATATTCTCACAGTACAGCAATGAATTCTGCTGTTGATAAATGTGTTATTATCGACATGAAAAGAGGTCAATTCTCAGAAGGCAGTACCTCTGACCTTACTAATGTGCAGTTTATTCGATACTTAGAGGAGCAAAAAGCCTGTATAAGAAGCAGCCATTGCTTAGGCGGCGTCACTGCACATGGTTTTCCTGTATTTGAAGAAATATGCACACAGACATACTGGGAACACAAAGGACAGCAAGGTGAGGCCATGCACCCTATATCATCCAGTCCGCCAAACAAAGGAAGGGGCAAATAACTACTGTAGTAATTCCCAAACTGAGCCAGTGTGGCGGTAAAGTAACTTAAGTGCAGGACTATTGCAGGAATAAGCTGGATTTCAAAGAGGAAACTGTGATTTGATCTGCTGTGATTTACACCTTTGGAAATCAGGTTTCCATGGGTGAAATTACTGTAGCCATCCAGATAATGATTTCCAGGAGTCAGCAGGGGCAGTGGTAGAACGCTTGGTTTTTATGTAGCAAAATTGTATATAAAGGTTATTCATTAACAGCATAACATATATAACGAACGATGTAACATAATGTATTCCTCCTACTGGAAGATGTAACACCCTGTGTCTTGAAGTGCTCATGAGGTGCTGACTGACAATTTCACCTCTCTCTCTCTGTTTAAAATGGTTCTTCTGAGTGAGAGTGTGTTCAGTGCTGAGGTGAAACTTCTTTGAAGACCTGGTCTGGAGACAAAAGTTGCTCAGTTGAGGGGAACTGACACCCCCGTGAGCATCCCTTTGCACTGGATCAGCCAATCATACTGGGCAGAAAGTGGACAAAAGTGATGTCAACTCAATCAGAACAAATTTAAACCCCTGCTCTGGCTGAACAACAAAAAGGACATCTCAAAAGAGATGATTTGAGAATGAGCTTCCCCACACGGAGCTCTCTATTGTGTAGTCACCAGGTTTTAATTCAAATTAATCCCTTCATATTAGTTTGATGAGAATTGTGGTGGAATTTGGTAAATTTAGCTTATCCTGATCCAACTTTTTTCTGAAGTCCACTGAACCAGGTTAGATCATTGGAACACAGGGGATAGCAAATTTGGCCCTGAGCTTCTTGTGGTTGTTCAAGACTGGTTTTTTTTTTGCTTTTTACCCTATTACTCCCACGAGTTAAAACCCTTAGAAGCCTCCAGGAGTGGCCATTTGGAGTAGAAATAGATTACAAGATCCCCTGCATCATTTAACATTCCCAGATAACCTTTTGTCTCAGTAGTAATGGCCTGAAGCCACTTTTTGTGTTTTGGCAGTCTGTGGGACCGTTGAAGGATGTCAGGAACTTGATGTCACCCCCCTGAACATGTCAAAGTGGTCCATCTGTTTGTAACAGGAATGCCTTTCAGAAACCATTGCAGGCCTTATTGGACAGTCTTCATTCTTATTTCCATGCATTCACTTATTTGGCTGCCCAGACCTAAACATGTAACTGTTGGATTGTCTCTGAATCACTGAATGAGCAGGAGAGGACTCAACTGTGTGACAAGAGCTCTCTACATGTACCAGTTAAGTTAACCTTTTTCCCTTTAACACAAAGCGCTCAGTTGCCTATGGTTCTCTGACTGTTTATTGGTAACTGGTGGCTGGTTACAAACTCCCAATTATTTCTCTGTGTGGATGCCTAAGGTGAAAGTTTTCATCTTTTTCTAGGTTTCAGATATTGACAAACTACTTTGCCATTTTAAAAGTCTAACAATTTTAAAGCCAAATACTTTGCAGTGAAGTATGAAACATTTCACATTTTAAACATACTTGAAAAATTGACTTCTTTGGCACAACAATCAAGCCTATCAAAGCTAATTTTCTAAAACACCACATATGATGACAAGGAGGCTGGTGTAGGAAGGAAGAAGACCAAATGAGCAAAGAGGAGACAGTGGGAATGCTCAGCACACATGTGCAGGAGAGGGAGTTACTGTGCAGGTTCACATTCTATATTATTTTGTGTGTGTTACTGTGAATGGTTGTCTGTGTGTAACAAACTGGAAAGTGTGGAAACGTCCATCTCTGTTCAAACAATTTAAGCTACAATCATTCAGGCACATTTTCCTGTGCTTTGTTGCTTTTGATATATTTAATACTAGCTATGAGTATACAAGAAACATAATAATAGCATTGTACCTGAGCTTCTACATGTCTAACCAAATGTAACCAATTATTTATTGACTGCAAACACATTTGGTGTCTGTTCTGAAAGCAAATATGATGAAATGGGTTGAGTGTTTGGCCCAAACTATATTTACCTTCTTCCTCTGTTGACTATATCATTGTCTTTCAGATTGACAGTATGAGGCACAGTGTGTATCACTGAAATATCCAGGCACAATTTCTCTTTGAAAATCTTGCTATTTCTATACTGCACTGTATTGTTGAAATCTAGTTTTCCTTGCTTTAGAGGCAGTGACACTGTTTAAAAACTGAGATACTTTAGCTTTGATCAAAGGATGTAACTAAATCCTAGATCTCCTATTAGTAAACCTTGGCTTTTCAGCACTAAAAATGTATCAATCAATTTTTGCTACTACAAAAATTCAATACACAGAGACAAAGGTAAACCAGAAAACTTGAAAATGCAAAGAAAGGGGGGAAATGGAAGTGATTTCATGTATTTAGATAGCTTGCCAAGTCATTTGGATAAGGCTACAGGTGCCATGCATGCCATTAAGTAGCCTTTCTAGTCCCACTTTTCCTGAAAAGGACAATAATTAGAGATGCACAGATCTGATTAAACTGAACCAAAGAAATAGACTTACTTTTTCCCCACAGGAGAACTGGAGAGAGTAGCACTGTCTTTCTGTCCTTTCAGTGATAGGTCTCAGTGTGAGCTGGCAGCCCCTCTTTGCCTTTTTATGCTTTGCCTTTGTCTATGTATGGATGCTGGTGACATCAGCAATGGGACAGACCGTCTTAGCCTTACCTCCCCTCTAATTAGGATTTAACATCCACTTTTATCAGCTGAAGAAAGGGGAGTGGCATGACTCACAATATTTCTTCTTTTGAACTTATTGGATAATTTAAAACCCAAGTGACTGTCTTTGTATGTGAAATTTCAGGTTTTGTACATGATTCCGAGCTAATCTAAAAAGGATTGTTTTATTAGTTTATTAAAAGGCAGGTCCAAAATTTTCAGAGTAAGGCCATGGTCACAGAAGGGAAATGTTACCCATTTCTAAATGATACTTTCCAGACTTCTGTTGTAATGCATTACGGTCACATGGTATACATACCTGGATGGACATCCCAATGTGCTCAGGTTTTGTACATGATTCCGAGCTAATCTAAAAAGGATTGTTTTATTAGTTTATTAAAAGGCAGGTCCAAAATTTTCAGAGTAAGGCCATGGTCACAGAAGGGAAATGTTACCCATTTCTAAATGATACTTTCCAGACTTCTGTTGTAATGCATTACGGTCACATGGTATACATATCTGGATGGACGTCCCAATGTGCTTTAATTCATTTTCTTCCATTTGATTCATTATGGCTGGCTACTCCATGTTACTGATTTATTTCTTCTCTTGTTTTAAGTGGCGCTGCAGTCCCATAACTTTAATTTGGGGGAGGGGATCTGGGTAAAAGGCAGATCCATGAAACCAAGAATGGATCCTCATGATTTCATATGATTTTTACATGGGATCCTTACCAAATTACTATCTAATCATAGATCCCATCTATGTTCACAAATTACACCACAGAAATCATGGCTCCTTTGGCTTTGCAGTGGCAAGTGGCTCAAAAAACATGGATCAGAGGCACAGATCCACATGGTTTCACATGATTTTTAAATGGAATCCTCTCTTAACCACTGTCATTTCTATTTGTGCCCATAGACCAAAACACATGGCTTTGGTACATGGCTTTGTTGTCCAATCATATGCCCCATTGTTGCCCAAAGTCTTAAACCCAGAAATCATGGATCCTTCAACTCATACTCTGTAGTGGTGCAAAAACATGGATCTGAGACAAGGAGCCACATGATTTTTATGTAGGATCACCCTCCAATCATAGGGGCTATCTTTGCTCACAGACTGATGATTGATCAGTGGTGTCAGAATGAGTATCCATGCTCCAGATCCATGCTTTTGCACCACTGAAGAGCCATGCATTGAAGGACCCATGATTACTGTGGTATAATCTGTGGACATAGAAGGGGCCTGTGACTGAACAATGGTTTCAGGGTGATCCTTCCTAAAAATCAAGTGGATCATGATGATCTGTGTGTTAGAGCCATGTTTTTGTGCCACTGCAGATTAATGCACTGTAGGGCCAATGATATTAATCTAATATTTTACCTTCCCCCCCCCAAAAAAAAAGAAAGAAAGAAAACTGCATTTTGTGGCCAAATAATAGACATAGTCCACAGTATTGTGCAATGCTGTAGCAACTTTCACAGTTATGCATAAATATAAAAAATGTTACTGGTCAATGTATTTAATAGTAAAATTGCTTGTGTACTGTATGCATTTATATTTTTTTGTTGTGAGCTGTGTTTCAACAATGGTTACTGGTCAATGTATTTAATAGTAAAATACTTGTGTGTGCATTTATATTTGTTTTGAACACATATTTTTTGTTGTGAGCTGTGTTTCAACAATAAGCAACATTGCAAGTTGAGACAGCTTCCTTTACATAGGCTCCATGTGTCTCTTCCAATTAACAGATATATCTGGGACTCTGGTCCAGTATTCTGCTGATGGCAACCATACAGTTCAAAGGGGCAGCTGGAACTAACAACAGCTTTGACTGCAACACACAACGATCATATTGCTTTGATAATGGATTTATTAAGGCCATGGTTAAGAGCTTTTATTTCTGAGAATACTGGAGCTTGTGTGAACATGGAATGTGCTTGGTACAATGTATTGACCCTTTTTTTTCTGAATGAAATAGTCCATAACGTACTGCAAGACTCTGAAACATGACTTATGAAGCTATTTTTACATGATCCAAAATGGTTGCGTTTGACAGCAATAGCCAGCTGTATTACTAAGAGATGATAGGGGCTGAATGAAAGATCTTGTTTATGAAAAGTCATGCTTTTTTGTGACCATTCCTATGATATAATCTATGTGTGAATAATAGGTGTGGTCACTTGGTTCTTTACAGCAGTGTAAAGAATCTTGTGTAAGGGACCTGTTTGGGATAGATTTTGATGTCAAACACTAGACTAGTGGGTGGTTTAAACTTTGCTAGGTTTTATCTTTTAGAAGAAGTAGCTATATTTTTGTCTTTTTAATTTTTCTTACATTTTATCTGTATTCTTAATTCCTACAGGCTGTTTTATATATTTATGTGAAACACAAGGACAGCCTTCTTGGTAAGAGGGTGGCGAATGAATAAATGAGGTGTACAGCCATTCAAGACTGAACTGTGCCATGTAGCTGAGTAGAGCAACCTGCTTCAGGGAGCACTGCAGAGTGTGTGTGTGGGGGGGTTCAGATGAAAGCAAGCACTGGTGTCTGAATTGTGGAAAAAATAATCTGTCCGTGGTGGCACTAACTGAGGAGGGCACCACTTCTGCTTTGTACATCCTAGTTTGGAAGCTTGCCTCTAAAGGTAAGTTTGCAAGTTTGTGCACGACTAGGATGGAGCTCAAATGAACCCTCCAGAGCAGTCCTGATGCCTCACTTCGGAGGTCTTCACACAAGAGCCACTTTGCTCAGGAGGGGGGTAGGAATACCTTTGAGGCAGGTCACTCCAGTTTAGTATTCTGGGTCCCTATGAAATGGATGCAAACTCTTAATACTGTATGTGCTATATTGCTCATGACATGAGCCGTCCATTTTCTGCTACCACAGCTACGTTCCCTTTATTTAGTCCCATGTATCTGGATTTTGTAAATATGAAATATTAACATTAGCTGGTTAAATCAGACAAGTGAAGAAAAGTGATCGAAAAGCCGCTCATTGTCCAAAAATGAGAAAGAAAAGTAGACACCTCAGGAAGTATTATCTTTAGGAACAAACCAAGTTTATTGTATTATTTTGCTGTTTATTTTAGGGTAAAGAAAAGAATACATAAGGTGAAGTGAGTGATGTGATTCTTTTTTGGCCTAGGTGGTTTTTTTTAAAATATGGCCTTAGGTCAAGGGGTTAGCTAATGGTTGCATGAATAGATGTACATAAATGTTGTCATTCCTTCCCAACCACTTTTTATTCAAAATTTTGTCCTTCTCAACTGTTGTTTTTTCTGAAAAGTTAAAAAATATGCTGAATACCCCCATATACACAAATTTACATGCTGTACACATAACAACAGGTTACCTATCTGCAATTGTGGTTTTTCTAGTGGACGTCTGTGATTCACACCCTGGGTGATCTGTGCCTGCACAGAGCTTCATCGGAAGATTCTAGAGTTTCTGTGGTAGCAATAAACACATTAGAATAAGCCCCTACTCCCTATATAAGTACTTTGGTGCCAAGCGTCCCCTTTCAGTTATGTCAACCGCCGCTTAAGTGTAAGCAGAATGGCGTAACAGAGGGGAGGACGGGTAGGATGTGTGAATCACAAAAGTCAACTTGAAGAATTACAATTACAGGTGGGTAACCTGTTGTTCTTCTTCTTGGCCTCTGTGAATCACACCGTGAGTGACTGAAAAGCTGTCTTACCCGGAGGCAGGGTGTCACGCCAAGGTAGAAGCTAGAAGAGCATGTCCAAAGGCCGCATGAGACTTCTGCCAGAGATCAAGTCTCTAAGGACAGATAAAGGTGGACAGGTGTGGCCACGTGGCAGAGGTGCAGACGTCTGGAAGAGGTACGCCACAGAGAAAAGCTGTAGAAGCTGCCACTGCCCTGGTGGAATGAGGTCGGATCACTCTGTGGGCTGGATGTCAAGCAAGTTAGTAAGCCAAATGAATAGTAGAGGTGACCCATCTGGATATAGACTGGGAAGTTACTTGATGTAGGGTCACGGAATGAGATGGCTGATAGGCTAGGTGATCACCAGATAATTAGGATAGCAAATAGTCTTAGAGAGAGACATTAAAGAAGTCAGCCACACACACAAGGATGTCTGCCAGCAGTACTCCTGATGGGCAACTAGTCTGCCATGCTCCCAGGAGGACTCTCTTTTATTACTTTAGCAAGCTCACAGTTGACAGAGTTCAGATAGGACAATGGTTACATAATGCCATTAGGATTGGCCCAGAAAAAGCTTTGAAGTTAGCTCCCTATCACTATGAGAAAGAGGAAGAATGGGTAGTAGCTCCTCCTCTCAGAAGCAGCTATGACATCATCCAGGAGAGTGTTCTCTGCACTGAAGAATCAGCCAACAGCTTAGCAAGTTTGGGAAGAAGTGTTCTCCCACAACCTGACAGCCTTTGGTAGGTAACTGATGGCTTATGAAAAGACAAGGTGACTGTTGTGTATGTTGGAGATAGAAGGCAAGGGCTCTCCTGAAGTCTAACGTATGCAGTACTAAGGAGGGATGGTAACATTGATAAGTGTATCAGAGTAGTTGTGTCTTACGAGGTCAGATCATATAGATCAGTCGTCCCCAACCTTTTCAATGCCGGGGACCAGTTTTGTTGAAGACCATTCTTCCAAGGACTGGTGGGGTGGCTGCTGC